CAGCACTTCCCCCTCATAGTTCTTGCCCTTAAGGCACCAAATTCAGCAGCACTTGTCTATCTTTTGTGCATTTAGTGAACACTTGTGCAACACTAGCACCCAAGAGGCACTAGTGAAAGCAAGTAACCTCTGTAATTCAAAGAAAACAAACAAAATGGGGGTATCGCGGCTTTAAGTATATTTATTAGTCATGTACGAGCAAAACTAGGATAAATTCAATACCTTTAGCGTCACGGCAGCTATCCCCAGTGGGGGTTTCCACATTAAGGTGCCACTTCTTAATGAGCTGTGCATCCAGCACCATTCAGTTCTCACAAATACGGCTGGTCTTTTGAAATCTCCCACTTCTTGAGTGGTGGCCCTGGTGTCACTGGCTTTTTTTCTGCTGTTGTCACCGCAGACCCTGAACTGGGAAAGAGGAAGAAAAAGAGACTCAAGTAGCTTTTAAGAGCAGTCAATAAAGAACTCTCCAATTTCATCAGAATGGGTTTTATTAGTGTGGGGGAGCTTAGGTAAGTCAACAGTCGAGCAATTTTTGTATTTATTCAAGAGGAAATACAGAATGGAAGTGTCAGGTCAGTGTTTTACTCCATGATCTGCAGAATACGACATTAGTTTCTGGAAGAGCTGTGTGTTTTTAAGGCAGTTCAGCCCTGCTCAGGGCGCAGCAGCGGACGAGGCCAGACCTACCTGGCAGCCTGTGCCCCAGCAGGGAGGGTTTTCTGTGCCGAAACGATGATGACGGGGGGAAAAGCCTCCCTGCGCCCGTCACGGGTGCAGTAGTAGTTGTCTGCCAGTCTGTGGCTGGGACCCAACGGGAGCCGAGGCGGCGGCTGGGATCTGGATAGCAAAAGTTTCACAATTTCAGTGTGTTGTGGTAAAAAAGGGCCCGTGTCGACGAGGGTCTGGAGGGGAGCATCGCTGCGCAGTGCCCTGCCTGCAGCTGTAGAGGTTTTAAGGACAGTTGAAGGTGCCTGAGACAAATGCAACCCTGTTACAAGCACAGGCAGGGGCAGAGCAGCCCCCTTTGCCCAGGGCTCTGTGACAAGTGTCCCCTCGAGCCCAGGAGGTCACAGCCGCTCTCCAGAGAGCAGAAACATGAAACCCTGAAGGAAAAGGGGGTAGGAAACGGCGCGGGAGCGGCAGGGGGGGAGCAGCGCTGAGCTCCGGCCTCACGGCCAGGCCAGGCCGCCACCACCTTTTACCTCTTGGAGATCTCGGTGTAGCGCAGCGCCAGCTTGGCCTGGAGGTCGCGCTGCAAGGCAAGGCGAGAGCGGCTCAGCGCGGGGCTGCCCTCCCCTCCCCGGGGAGGGCGGCAGATCCCGGGGCCGCCTTGGCCCCTGGGGCCGCCCTTACCCCCGCTAGGAAGTTGCGCAGCCGCTGGATGAGGCGAGTGGCCGTCG